TGCTTAACGGCCCATCAGCATGTTAGTCACAGAGAGTGTCTGTCTAAACACTACTGACACAACAATGGTTAAGTAAGCCCGTGACTAACTTATCTGCAAGACTCAGGGCTCCAAGATAAGAATAACAGGGAAGTTTTACTGTTTGGGTGTCCTCTCTTCCAGACCCCTAGAGTAGCGCCTAGAAGTCTCCAGTCATTGCCCTAAATCTGGATTCTGGAAAAAGCCTAGCAGACTGTTCATCCCTAAGGAGCCCACCCCACCACATCCCTCCAAGCAGGAGCTATTACCCAATGATGGAAACTGAAGCTGCTTTCCCCTGCTGACTGGGAGCAGCCATCTCCTGGGCACCCAACTGCTCCTGGAGCAACATCTCTGAAGCCACCTCTCAGAACAAGAGCTGAGCCACTGGCCAGTTTTGGCCAGTTGGACCAAGACTATCACACCCCTTCCTCTGGCCCGCTTGCTCCTCTAAGTAAACCTGCATCCCAGGGCAGCATCCTCCAGAAGGGGAGCTTGCTCTCTGTCGTGTCCTTGTAAGGTTGCACTGGGCCTTTCCAGCATGATTATCCAGTTTGATTTCCCAGGCAGGTGGAAGGGTCCCCCTTTTGTAAGGAGTTGGGAGTCTGCCTAGGACTCATAGGAAGGTCTTAGCAAGACAGTTCTGAGGCGAGATGCAAAGACAAGGAACATTCTGGGGACATGGCAAAGGGAAGGAGCCCCTTGCTCTGTAGCCTGGCTAAAGTCTCTCCATTGAGAAGTGAGAATCCCAACACAATTAACATTTTCTGAGGAGTTGCTGGCACTATTCCTTTGATGTTAACATCAGTGACCCTTGGATTAACATCAAGGCCTGGATGGGTATGAGCTTGGGCAGGTTCTCCCTCCTTTCCTCAGATATTTTCTGGGGATCTCAAGGCTGCTGGCTTTGCTTCCTCCTTGTATCTCTGTGACCTCATGGACTATATAACCCCATCGGGGGTCCATCAGGAGCCATTCTGTGATCTCATTTAGGTTTCTTAGCAACCTTTTGAAGATAATAGTTTCAAATCCTACCAAAGTCCTACCTACGACTATATAAAGACTATGAAGTAAGAGTCTGTCTCAGAGAGGACCCCCCCATGTTCTCCAGTGCATCTGTCTCTATTTCCAAGCATCCCCTGGTAACCCTCATAGCTAAAATCTATGTTTAAAATGTCTTATAATAAAAAGATCAATGCTGCTTCATAGGGCTTACCCTGAAATTCGTTTCTGTGTCAAAGTCACAAATCCCAGTTTGGCCTGAACCGAGGCCCTTAAAAGATTAGGGAACTCCTCAGGCTGTGCCTCCTGCTTCTGTCCCCTTAGACAGTTCCAGGTCTTAAGGGCTTAGAAGACAATTCTGGCATTTGTATGGAAGATTTGTCATGGAAAGGCAAGAGAGTGTAAGAAGTGGGTTGGAAGGCAGCCACAGGCTCTGCAAGGATTGGGAGAAGGGCACAGGTGGCTCAAGACATATTCTAGAACAAACCCCCAGGCCTTTGCAGTGTTCTAGATGAGGGAGGAAGAAAGCAAGGATGGGTTGATTAATGACAACTGACCTGAGCAACTAGATGGGGAGCCTAAGAGGTACATTGTTGGGGTGCAGGAGTGGAGAAGGCTGAAGAGTGTCGCACCAGGCTGGGACCTCCCTCAGGCACATGTCTGCAAAGGCACCAGGTCACAGGCACTTGCATCTTGTCCTATGGTACCTCAGGTAAGCCACCAGACAGACACAGGGAGGTTCCCGTTATGAGCGCTGTCATACAGCTGTCTATAACCTGCTGTGATATTCTCTGCTCAGCTCAGAGAAGGAGGCAATATGGTCCTGCTAGAAGGACATAATTCAGGACACTTGGCCCAAAGGAGGGTGGGGAACGATTCAGGAACTATTCTAGGCTGAAGGTCACTAGAGAGACATGACAGCTGAAAATACTGTGTGATTATGGCTTGGCTCTGAGTTCAGAACTAGAAGCTAGAGATGTGAAGAAATATGAAAGCAGTTTATGTTAGATATTACGTTGCATCCATCCTGACTTTCCTGCAAGTGAAAAGACGGTTGTGGTTGTGTGGGAGAAGGACCTTGGGCTTAGGGACCATCAAGAATTTAAGAATTAAGGCCAGGTGAGGTGGTGCACACCACTCAGGAGAGGCAGGAGGAGGGACATTTCAGGGTCACCCTTGTCTACATAGCGAATTCGAGGCTAGCCTGAGCTACATGAGACTCAGTCTCAAACAAATAACAAATTTTAGAATCAAATGTCATTATGTTTACAACTAACTTTTATAAGGCCCACCAAACAGGCAAACAAATTCCCTAGGAATAAACACACACACACACACACACACACACACACACACCAACCTGCTAAGTTTAAATGAATGTATTTGTTTTGCTCTTATCATTCTTCTAAAGTTGAAAGTTTTTTAAACTAAAGTCAGAGCACAGCATCGCAGTGACTCTGAAGCCCTCTGTCCGGAAAGTGAAGGCACGGCTCACTGCATACCAGGAATGCTCCCTTCCTTAGCTGAGAATCCACCGTGCTCCTTCTATAGTGCTGTGGATGCTTTGGGCCAGCGTACTGTCCCAAACTGTGGCCAGAGGATATCTACCAGACCACAGAAAAATACAGAAATGGCAGGGATGTGTGAGCACACAGCTGGGTCAGACAGTGGCCATTCACAAGGGACAAGACTCTTCTCACCCAGCCTCCATTTCTGTACTCAGAGAAAAGCATTGGCAGGCACCAGCCAGAGAACAGAATCCAGTGCATTGTGGCTTCATGGAATTGCCCTGGGGACTTCAAAACACAGAGGTTGCCTCCGGGGTCAGAGGCCCAGCCTGAGTATGGGACTCTTACAAGTTCCCAGGTCATTCTAACAGATCCAAACCTTGAGGACACGGTTTAGACAGTGAATTTGTGTTTGAATCACCTGTGGTGGAGAGGGGGAGAGGGGAAGAAGGTAAGAGGGAGGGGGAGGGAGCAGGGAGAGGGTGGGGAAGGGAAGAGGGATGGGACAGGTGACTGAATAAATGAGAGTCTCTATGGGGCAGGACTCAGTTACCTGTGTTTTTTGACAGCTCCTTCCTGCTTCCAGCAAACAGCCAGGCCTGAGAACACTGGTTTAGGCTGTGGTGTTTCTAAGAGCTAACCTCTTACGTGTGTACGTGCGTG